GCCGATCTGCCGCACGCGGCTGTCGCGGACCATTTGCCTCGTTATAACAGTTCTAGCGTACTTCATACAGCTCAATCGCTATGCGGTTATTACTTTTGTAATCATCCTATTGATAGTTCTTTGTTCCTGTATTTCTTACTTACTGCTGCATTCTGCCACATCCCTTCGCGCGCTACGTTGCTCGACGCGACAGCTTCGTTTCTACTGCGCCAAACGCGAATACGTGCGGCAAAAACATGGACCTAATGCCTCCCGTCTGGAATAACATAGTGGCCATACAGGAAACGACGATGGTTGAGATGAGAAGCTTTTGTCACTACGAGCTATTTAGATCTTATTGGTCAGTGGATTTGAATGAACGGAAGCTCAAGTGAACCCTACCTTTTCTCCGATTTCAGTCATATCTTCAGCTGGTAAGCTTGCCAAATCCTGTCGAAGAGCGCAAGCGTCTAGCACTTTCTCGTAGAACATTCGGTCATAAGTACGATTGAAGAGAATATTATTACGTAGTGAGAGATTCTGAATCCAAGCCTGTTGTGGGACGTAGGCGACCGAACCGCTCACATTCACGCTGCCACTAACTTTGTTCATTTCTCCTGAAAATGGCTCATAAGTACGAGAAAATACTTTTTTTAAAAAACCAATTTGGGTAGTAGCAACCCATGAAGGTAGGGGAAAGTGGCCTCATTCTTCCCGATATTTCAGGGTTTCTTTGGCAAGCTCTTTCAGGGTTTCCAAACAGAACGCGAGGGTGTCCCCTTCCACTGAGGAGTTAGAAGAAAGGCGTAGAAAAAGGGGAGACGGGCTGTAGTACCGGCTTTGTGTAATCGATCTGCCGCACGCGGCTGTCGCGAACCATTTGCCTCATTATAACCGTTCTAGTGTTCTTCATACATCTCAATCGCTATGCAATTATTACTATTGGCATGGTTCTACTGTTGGTTCTTTTGTTCCTGAATTTCTTACTTGCTGCCGCATTCTGCTACATTCCTTCGGGCGCGGCGTCGAAATGGTCGAAATGGTTCGAAGAAGAACCAGTCACCGCAAAGAGTTACGACAAATGCTGATCAAATTTGGGATTTAAGTATCTATTAATCTCATAGAATATAGAAATAAACAAATTGTAAATAACTGAACGAGTACAAACCTAGAATCGCTTGAAGCAGGCTGCTCTTACCGACGCCTACTTTGCCAACAATAGCAACGAGCTGACCACGTTCAACGGTCATGGTGATATTTTTCAATGTTTCCTCTGCGTCTCCACTTTCCCAGGTGAACGTTGCGTTTTCAATTTTCACAGCTTCTTCTGGAACATACAATTATAAGAGGTTTTCAGTGAAATGACACTTGATAAGTATTTCAATCCAACCGGTATATTTGTTGCCCACAGCGTTGAAATCCATTTCCTCTTCAGCGAAAAACGCTCGAAGGCGCTTGTTGCTTACGTGGCATTGAACGGCCTACAATATCGAAGCTCACGCTCATAAGTTCTAGAGTTGAACTTGCAGAAAGGATGTTTTTATAAGGCTCGCTGCTTCAGGGATTGGCCGCTATAGGCGGCAACCAATCACGAAAGCGTTCTGCCAGGATTGGCTGCTACAGGCAGCCACCAATCGCGCGAGCGTCCTGCCCTTTTACAACGGTCAAGACAAGTAACTACAGTAGTCTTGTGCGAGATGGAGCTGTGGTTTTGAAGAGTTCGAGCGCAAAATGGATCGAGCAATATTTATAATTTATTTTAGCTTTATCAGCATTACCTGACTGAATATCATTGCAAAAATTGCCAGTGGAAAACGTAGAATATTGAAGAGAGCCAGAGCGACAAAGGTCACTTGAGGGGTCAGCACATTGTTGTCAGGATCGATGGTGACGAAAACAGCAAACGATAGCACTGCCACCTGAAAACCATAATTTTTTTTCTAAAATACTTTTTCGATTACTTATAAACATTTTATTCAAACGTCTTGAGTCAAAGCATGGAATGATTCTCATACGAATCAACAACCTGCACGTGGAGATTTCTTGGCTACAAGGGTATGAGGATTCTACGAGTTTACTGTGTTGAAAGGTACATACTAGGGGGTGAGGTGCGGGGATCAAAGTTGTCGCGTCGCGGTGAGAGACGTCGCGCGCGAAGGAATGTATCAGAATGCAGTAGGAAGTAAGAAATTCAGGACCAAAAGAACTAACATCAGGATCATGCCAGAAATAATAATCGCGTATCGATTGATGTGTATGAAGTACGCTAGAACTGTAATAGTGAGGCGAATGGTCCGCGACAGCCGCGTACGGCCGATCGATTACACGAAACCGATACTATTGCCCGTCCCCCCCCCCTCTACTAGGCGTTCATAGACGTAGAGCTACCTTTATGTTATTATGCTATACTATGATTGTTTACTTTTTTGTTGCTAGCTAATTATGAGGTATTTTCCATGAAAAAAAGAAGATTAGTAGTTTTTACTAGAGATAGCTCAGTATTATTGGAATAGAACAACAAATATGAATAACAAATACCAAAAATGGAGCACAAGCCCATGAGAGCGTCGTAGCAGCGTTGAGGAATGCAAGCTTCCTTAAGACGTTCAGTTCTTTGACACGAATGTTCAAAATCTGAAAAAGGTGACACGCAGTAAGTTGCATAGGTAATGTTTACCCTGAATTCTCAATGGGATTACCATTTATTGAAGTTTACAAAGTAACTACATAAAATTTAAATCGAACAATCTTCAAATATACCGCGTTTTCCATGCTTTTCTCCCATGCGTACAGCTTGAGCACTTTGATTCCGTTCAAAACCTCTGACATCATTTTAAGGCGTTCATCTTTATGTTTCATTTGTTTCACCTGAAAATGTAATCTGAGCAGAGTATCACGGTAGCTGTTGATAACATAGAATAAAAGTTGATAAATTCAATTTACAAAAACAAGGGATATTTCTCTACCTGGCAGTTTCGCATTTTCACAGAAATATAGGAATTAATAGGGACCATAGCCACTAAAATCACAAGACCGGCAATAACCGCTACGCCAAGTATTCTCCATAGGAAAATTATTGAAAGAATGACCTATAAGATTACGGAATACTGTATTCGAGGGACATGAAGTACCAATCAGAACGAATAGTACCTGAAGAGGAGCGGACCAAAACAACATGACGAATGTTGTCATGTCTTGCAGACGTTGAATATCCACTGACATCAGATTTACTATTTCTCCAGTAGTACGGTTTTTTCTTGCATTATTCGACAAGTTCATCGCCTGAAAATCCTAGCAGTCAAGTGCCGACTGTCTCTGAATTTTTGCCTTCCCTTTCGAGTACACTGCCCATTCATCCTGTAATCCCAACCATTGAAGAGGGTGGACTACGGGATCCTACCTGAGATTTTCGATGCTAAACAAAAATCATTTTAATTGTGAATTACTATCGAACTCTTCCATGGGGCCTTTCGCATAAAATACTTTTTTGTCAAAAAATGTCAAAACACAATTTCTGCCTATCCACCTCTCATACAGACCCTTCCCCTTACGGGGTCATGGCGTAATAAAACTGGAAGTTCCTGAAAGACCTGTGACAAGACTTGCATCGCCAATGTTCTATTGTTTGAAATTCATAAATTTGGATATATGCCACTTTTTCAAAGCTTTTTGCTTTGGACCACGTCCCTACCTGTCTTTTTTTTCATGAAATATCTTCATTTTCTTGAAAATTTTCGTCAAAACCAGTTCAGCATAAAAGCAGCCTCATGATAATCTGAACTTGATCCCTCGTGGACATGGTGAAGAGGAGGACAGTTATAATATGTTTGTTGGCGGAGCTGCCTAACAGATAGTTGACAATTATCTCGAGATGGATATCGTTCAAGACAACTATCAACTACATAGAATCACCTCATGCAATGAATTCCAACGACCCAACTGCCTTATGCCTGTTGTAGGAAGTAAGTCCCAACCTTCATCCACAATACTACTGTGATGATTACGGAATGAATATTCACTTCCAAATTCCTAGCAGAAAGTGAACTGCTTTAAAACTAACCTTCGAGTAGACAGCACTGGTAAGTACGGACCGTATGTTCATGCCCAAGCGGAACATGAGATGGAAGTACTGATGGAGAATCATTGACTGAACCACTGCCACGATGAACATTGTACTTGCTATACTGATACCAAGCCATAATGGTTGATCGTGATTCTTAAATATATTCGTAAAAGCAGTAAGGGGAAGATTACGGAAATCGGAAACCGTGACTGTATTAACAACGTTATTTTGGAAAATTCTATAAAATACTGAGAGATTAACATGAGTAATGCACAAACCTGTATGAAACTGATGAGATATTTGAGCAGAGCAGGGGCGACAAACTGTAGAAGATCAAACGTCAATTTGAGTAAAGCTCCCGAAATGAACGAGAACTTGTAAGTTTGAAAAAGAGGCCAGAGAATTGATGGATGCTTGACTGGATGTTCAGCGTTTGGCTTTGGTTTCTGCTCAGTTTGCGTTTCTAAAAGGAAAAATTGTTCTGCAATAAACTACCATGCCATTCAAAGTCAACTAACCCCAAAACTTCTGTTTTCGCTCATCCAAATAAATACAAATACACACATAAAAAGTTAGTACGAAGTAGATGCTATGTAGGTGCAGCAGGGTGTATTGTATTATATTTCCAAGACATAAAGTAACGAAAATGGGATCATGTAACTGGTAAAAAAACCCCTCAGCAGGCTAGCGCAGTCCCCTTTGACCAGGATGGGAAAATGTGGAAAAACAGTTTGAAAGAAAGAAAAGCCCACGCCACAGAATTGTCTCGGCTCCGTATCACTGGGATTGGGGAGACGGGCGTTAGGAACGATTTTAGGTAATCGATATGCCGCACGCGGCTGTCGCGGACCACTCATTCGCCGTTATTACAGCTCCAGCGTTCTTCATACAGCTCGATCGATATGCGATCATTATTTTATGCATAATTCTACTATTAGTACTTTTGTTCNCGCGCGCGACGCCCCTCTCACCGCGACGCGACCATTTCGTTCCTAACGCACCACACCCGGTGCCTACTTCAGACTACCACCACTGGCCCACTCTTTCGCTTTATGACACCCCTTTCAAAACACGACGAAATTAAATTCGATTGAAATATTTCCATGCACAAAAGGAAAAAGATGGCCTCAAATTAGAATAATAGACAATTTTACGATTTTGCGTTTATTTAGAGTTTAAAATTCGCAAGTGGAACGTTCATGGGAAAGCTCACCTTGGAACTGGCGCTTGAAATAGTGATAGAATTCTGGTATAAGATGGCTAGCTCGATCTCTTTCATTCAAACTCCACAGATCATCCCGTTCCAGCGGTCTTTTATAGCCCTTTACTGCTAACCCTGTGAACCATTGGAATGTGATCTGATTAAGGAATGACGTTGACAGCTCCGGGCAAATTTGTTTCTGAAATTTTCAGGTAATCATTGTGATCACATTGAATTGTAAAAGACTCCATTATTACCATTATTATTATTATTATCATTATTATTATTATTTTTGCTGCTATTATTACCAATACATTCCTACCTATGTAGGTGTGGACAAGTTCTGTTTCAGGACATTTGTAAAGTAGACTACGAGCGGCTGGGATTTATTCATTTATTGATTTCTCACGCTATCAACGGCGCTGGAACCTTATACGTTGCCAGAAGCATGGCGCATCTAACACGGTGGAATGAATGTGATACATGCAACCCTTATAGGACTAGCCAATCCTGGTTAGAAATAAGACCGAAGCAGATATGAACCGATATAGAGGACCTCTTGCATATCTTTATTTTCTACTTGAACTCCCTTTTGCAAACAATCAGCGAATATCGGAAATCGGAAGCTCAATCCCGTCAGAAATCTTATTTCTTGTAGTGACCAAGTTATCCATTCATTGAGTCGTTTCACTTCGACATAATGTTATGATAATAATTTATGACTGTTTACAAAAATACTTACCCCAATGAAAGCTCCAGAAGGCGTATCAGCGAAACAGGACAGAATCAGTTCCAAGCATATCAAAGGGTAATAGACTAAGTACATAAAAAATCGAAATTCATCATTTATTCCGCTCTGAAACGAGAAATATGTAAATTTTGAAGGGGGAGGGGGGTCTACTTAAATTTCCTACCTGAAAATAGCGTTCTAATAAAAATCGAAACTCTGGGAGCCCGCATAAGACCATAAGTAACCAGTAGATAAATAATACACCGGATGTAACAACTCCACGATTCCTACAGGCGATAAGTAACGTCAGTGCTATGCAAAGACCTGAAAATATATGAATTAGGATTGGAATTATGAAAGCTATACCCTTCTGTTTCATTAATATTCATTACTACTTCTATTCCAAAAGTTTCGTTTGATTTACATTCAAAATCAGTTCATATCAAGGAAGAAAGGGTGGCATTGCACCAGCGCAACTGCCTCTACAATACCACCCGTTATAAGATACATTATTGATTTCCTATACGAACAACCTCTACCATGTTTCCTCTATAAGAGAATTTTGTTGATAATTAAATTAACTCTGATTCATCACCAAAGCACAACATTGACCAAAATTGACTCACCTATATATTGGGCACAGTCTCCTACCATATACTTCAACGTTGATTTATTATCCAATATAAAATAGTTATATGCATTGTAAAAAAATGAGCATGTGAGATCAATGACAAGAACTACGCATACCAACTGAAAATGAAGTCATTTTAATTCGTGCAAAATATTTTACTTGAACAGGTGGTTTACTTCTACAAGATAGTTGTGAAGCTCAGGGACATGTAACCCGACGCTACCTGGCTCGGAAATGAATGGGTTCACTAGAAATGTAAATATTTCCAAATTCTCGTGGCTAATCTTGAGAATCTCAGCAATTTATTAACAGAATAAGTTCGTTGATCGTTACTGAGCTTCTGATAGCTTATGGTAAGGTGGATTTGAGTCCCTCAAAGGCACAGTTCACGGTAAAAATGGTTTCTGA